ATATCTCAATTTTTTCTCGAGTTATCGTGTACACGGACGGATGGACATACGGACAGACGGACAGACAGACATGGCTTAATCTTTTTTCATCCTGATCATTTATGTATACATTTGTCTATATCTATCTCGATTCGTTTTGGCTGTTACAAACAACCGTTATGTGAACAAAATTAATATACCCTTGTGCACAAGTGCGCTCGGGTATAAAAAATTTGGTGCTTTTAGTTTGGTGAAACCCTTTTTTCCAAGTTTTTGATGCTTTTTGAAAATCAAAAGTTGGCAACACTGCCAAGAGCATGTTGGCAGCAGTGTGACCACTTTGTGAGTAATTCCTCAAAACGAGAGGAATTTCGGGTGCGCTTGAGTATTTTTGGGGGATTTTTATTTTGAGGAATTTTCTCTCGATATATTTGCAACAATTCAAAGTCTTCAATTTTGAAAAAAAGCTTTCCGAAGTTTTAATACATAACACAAGCGGATTGTCAAAGACTCTTCAAACCTACTTTTCCCATTTCGCCATACCCCATGCAAACATGACTCGTTCAAGCAAATAATTTTAGTTTTCTTTCGGTTCACAATTTCAAAGAGTTTGGTTTTCTTCGATTTTTCTCTTGCGTCCTCATTCGGCGAAAATTTCGTTGCGAATGAGGCGATTTTACTATACACAACGTAAGCGGTTTGATCATTCGTCAACATGGCGGCCAGAAAAACAAACATTTTTGATTTTTGTTCACATTTCCCTCAAACGGCCTGTGAAACCTTCAAACACCCCAATACAAAACATAAATAGCTTTAAGCAAAGGGATATTTCGCTTGGTTTGTGAAACCGCTTGTGTGGTGTTTTCAACTCTTAAGCACATCTGCATTTTATGCTAAATATTCAAAATGTTATCTATATTTTTTTTAATTCCGTAGTTATAATTTCAACTTATTTTGAACTGGCAAAATCTCGATAACGAATGGAGAGTAAACGCATTGCTAGATCATAATAATTGATAAGATTGATTCTTCATTAGATCCAGAAAATTGTGGGAACAACGTTTTTGAATTGAAAGATTCTTCAGGTTCATATAAGTTTCCCAAATAAAAACAAGTAAGAAAGTCTAAGTTCGGGCGGAGCCGAACATTAAATACCCGGCGCAAGTATTAAATATATGTTTTCCACCTTTCCGAAAGCTACCGCTATATGATAAGCCGGGATGTATACATTTTAAGTAAATTAAATTTCGAAATATTGAAATTTCAAGCATTTTTGAAATTTACCGTTATATGAAAAGCGGCCTCAATTTTAGTCCGATTTCAACAATTTTCAACGGTTTGCTTTTATGTGGCAAGCACAATAACCATACCGAGCTTGGTACAAATTGCTAGAACGGCTAGCGAGATACATATCACAAGTGGGCGGTGCTACGCCCATTTTCCAAAATTTTGTTATAAACGTATTTCTTGGTAAAGAATTGTTGCAACCATCAATTTTGAATAAATTAGCTTCAATATTTACTGATTTATCGAAGATTTTGTATTTCTCGAAATTACCGTTATATGGGATGTGGGCGTGGTTATTGTCCGATTTTAGAAATTTTCGGCCATTTGGTATGTTGTACCAGGACCAACAACTGTGCCAAGTTTGGAAGAAATTGGTGTAGCGGTTACCAAGATATACACATGTAACCATAAGTGGGCGTGGCTACGCCCATTTGCCAAAATTTTGTAATATTCTTATTTTTCGTCTAAAACTTATTATAAATATCAATTTTGAGTGAATAATCTCCAGTAGTTACTAAAATATCGCAGTTTTCGTTTTTCTGAAAATTACCGTTATATGGGAAGTAGGCGTGGTTATTGAGCGATTTTAAAAATTTTCGGCCATTTGGTATGTTATGCGAAGGCCAACAACTGTGCCAAGTTTGGAAGAAATTGGTGCAGCGG